TAAAAAGAAGTTTGGTGTTTGTGTGCTCAGTAAGCCATAAATGTCAGAGGCACTTAAAGGTGACGGCTGGTTAAAATTAAGAAGTGCTTGGATAATTAAAGGAAGTTAGAACTCAAGTTTAACTTGAGTTAAACAAGCAAAGCAAACAAACAACACAAGACAGCCTTGGCGTTGATACTGTCACCGGAAATGATGTGCGCATTTTCTAACCCCGTTTCCCTGAAATTAGGAGATTCATCTGCGGTAAGAAGAGACCTTGGGGCTTCCCCTGTCCACAAAGAACATCAGGTGCCCTTTGCCCAAGGAAACCTTTATTTCCAAGTATCCCACGTCATTCCTGGGTCCCATTCGAAATCCATTTAGAAAGGTCTCCCTCCAGCCTAATTCAGAGCTGGCATCCCACCCCCACCCCAGTCCAGAAGAAGGTTGCTGCAGTTAGAAATCCCAAATTTAAGGTGTAGCTCAACCTTTGACCACTAGAGGTCTCCGGGAAAGCATTGACCCGTATAACCCTGTTTATCATCCTAACCATAGACTTGTTGCACAGCCAGGCGAGCCCGCTCTGCTGGAGGCGCCTTCTGACCATCGCCAACCAGCCCTGGCTCGTCGTGGCGCCAGCACGAAAGGGGGATGGGCCAGGCGGTGGCTGACCATCACACGGGGTGGTTTTTAAAGTCACGATTCAACCCACACGGTCTAGGGGTTACCTCTGGATCCCCATTTCTTGTCCTTGCAAACAACTAAGGGGAGACCTACCAGGTGGGCAGCTGGAGCCCTTCTGACTGTCACCCTGCCCAGGACTAGCCAAGGTCCGGGTGGTCAGTCACCTGGCATCAGGTCCCCTCAGCAGGCCGGGATCTGCCTCCCAGCTTTGTCCCCCCCCCCAACCCCCACGTGCTCCCTATCACTCTCCCCTTTTTGCCCAAACCCTTCCCTATGGAAGGACATTAGGGTTCCATTCACCACCCGCCCCTGTTTTTAACGGTGTAGATTTTTCTAGAAAAATAGTATCGTCTGGCTGTAAGAGAAAAAGAAAAAAAAAAAAAAAAGAGGGTGTGGGGGCGCCGAGGGGGAGCCAGAAAGGAAATAGCCAGGTTGAGTTTCCAGTTTTTATCAAGCAATTCGCTCACCAATGAAGGCAAGCTGCAGTGGCAGATTCGAGCCACATGCGGTAGTGTGTAGAAATTAGTAGATAAAATGCTGGCTGAAGCTCTAAAACATGAACAAGGTCAAAAATGCTTCAGTTGCCTTTTGCAATTTGGGGGGGAGGGGAGGAGGCCCAGAGGTGAGCGGAGAGATTGGCAGTTTCGAAATGGACGCCTTCTTTCTTCAAACTGTACTCTTTTTTTTTTTTTATGATCCTGTTTATTATAGCCCAAGCTGCCTAATTGTGTCACTGCTGGGTTTTGCAGCTAACTTAATCCTCCTGATCCTTTATGGAACGATTCACACACACTGAATAATGTGTCCCTGTCCCCGCAACCCCTTGAGGCCCAGGGAAGGATTTTTTTTTCCTTAATTTTTTTAAACCTTTTAAATATATCAGGTAACTCAGTTGAATTGGGAGCTCATAAAGCAGCAGGGATATAGATGTGTGGGTGGAGGTTACTGTGTTTCAGTACAAGGGAGAGAAAGAAGAAAAAAAAAACAGAAATAGTGGCTCATGTAAACATATACTGCTCCACCCTCCTCCTCTTATGCCCAGCCAGTCCCAGCTACAAGCCTTTTTATAGATAAATAAAGCAGTTGCCTTCATGATTACAACTGTCTTGAATGGATTGTCTTCTTACAACAGTCAATCTGTTTATGAGTATTTACTTTATATTAGCCCAGGGACCCTGCACTGCAGGAGTTTGCCTCTATTCCCCTGGGTGTCGGTGTCTCTGGTCTTACATCTGCTTTGTGATTGATGGAGCCTGAATCCACGTTATTACTCTCTCACAAGCAGAAATCAAACAGGCTATTAACTACATCACTTCAAAGAACTGTTTCAATACAATCTCCTTATCTTAATTGAAACTTTCTTTGTATGGATAGTTGCTCCACAGATAATTTACAGGTGTCTATCAAACATCACATTAAAGAGGTAAAACAAGAGATATTGGGGGGGCACTACTGTAATTTTAAAAGCCTTTCTCAGTATTGGATAGAGCATTGATTTAGTAGATTTATTATGTTTATGGGATTGGGGATCATGGTGCTGGAGAAAGGGGAAGAGATTCCCTTTTGAGATTTAGCATGGGACTGATTATAAAAATTGCAAAAATTCAGTAATATTCAGAGCTAGGTTTGGGAAATCTTATCAGGGAGATTAAGCAGTTGCTGCCTAGTGTACTGCCTACCTTGAAGAGACACAGAAGAAGGGCTCTAATTAGGTGAAGTCATTTACAGACACTTAAAGACTTACAGCACCAAAGACTACCCAAGTTGCTCAAATGCTGTGCAAAGCCGTGTGTTTGTAAGGGAGGTTTAATACACAATCCAGGGATGCCCTCAGGCACTGTGTCGAGGTTTCCTGCATAAACGCAGCCGCCTTGGTCAGGCAGGAAACTGACTCACAGTTGATCTCAAAGAAAATCTTGTCAAAATACAGCAACTCTAGCTTTTTTTTTTAATATATCATCTCTTGAATTGGATGTATATATTTACACTAGCAGGACAGAGGCTAACAGAAGCCCCCAGGCAGCTCATGAATATTTTTTAAATATGTAAAAAATGCCCTTCAGTAAAGCCCATTCATATGTTAAAAACGAACAAAATGGGTTATTCTAATCAAACGTCTGCAGTGTGCACCATAAAGTTAAAAAGAGAGGGCGAGAGGGCTGTAATTTCTCTCTCTACCCCATGTTTATGAAATGTTAAGATCAGATGAAATTTCAAGGAAGATAATTAAGGAGCGGTGTGCAAGTCATAATTTGGCTAATGCAAAAGATGGGAGACTCTAAATTGGTACACTGTCCTCCCCCACGGTGCAGACTTGGGATATTACTTTAAATTATTAAAATAGCTTTTCGACAGCTTCCAGAATACGGGCTTTTTGGCATGGGCTTTTATTACTTATTGTAATTGGAGGATCTGCCATTTTCTTTCGTTTATCTCTGTGTGTATAGAAACAAGATAGATCTTGCCTTTTTATGACTTCTCCATGTTCTGAATCAAAAATGTGGTTTAGATAATGTTAAGTGCCCTAATTCTTACTGCAGCGGAGGCAGACGTTATGGAAAAAAAGCGTCAAACACACACACAGAGGGTCCTTCCACCGCCAGCTCACCGAAGACGAGGCATTTGTGCTCTGTTGGGTGTATTAACTTCAGCCATGTGAATATAATTTTCATTAAAGTAATCCTGTCTCAACTCGATGCTGCGAGTAGAGGTGAAACGTTGCGAAAGCGTTAAAAATAGCTTGCTAGTAATTTCAACATCCTGTAATTTTATCGCGGATCGAGTTTCAACTGTCGTACTATACAAACCTTATCCCCCATATAGTACATGTTTACTTTTTTAGCCTGCCAGACCCACTCTGGAAAGATTGGTGCCAATATAATAAAATCGCTGGGGGGTTGGGGGGTGCTGGAAAGAGTGGGAGGAGAGCCGGGAAGGGGTGGGGGAAGCGAGTACACCATTTTACATCAACGCTGCGAAAATGCAAGCGAGCCAGGCGGAGGACCGGCAGCTGGGTCGCAGCGAGCGAAGGCTTTGCAGTCTCTGCCTGCTCCTTGTTCTGTCGCTCTTAAGTTTCTCTGTTTGCATAATAGCCGTGCATGCAAACCGCGCAATGCTCCAGGGCTCCAGAACAATAAATATACACATTTAAAACCTTTATTGTCTTACGGTGCGTACCCCCCCCCCGCCCTCGTTTTCAACAGCTTAATTTCTGATGATATTTAACTAGTTTGCAAATGAATTATTTTTTTCAGTTTCAAACTATTGCCGAGGAAGCTCCCCCTCCCTTTTTTTGGGGGGGGGGCAGGGGAAGGACTGGGGGTGGGGTAGGAGTCGGTATATTATTCCTGTAGCGCCGGGTTATATAAACACATTATCATTTGAGAGAGCCCTTGGCGTCCATCAGCATTGTAAACACGTACGAGTGTATATACTTCAAAATTAAAGAATGCACACGCAGAACCCGGAGCCCGAATTCATATTCTGAGCAGACTCGCGGCTCGCATGTATTGATTTATCATGCACGGTTTATTGTTCCTCTCCCTAAATGCAGTTGCTGTCCGTTCAATATTGTTGCAAAATCACGAGACGTGTGTGCACTGCTCACTTGTCTTTCTGCTCTTCTTCTTCCTTTTTTTTTCCTGCTTAGTATTTTTTTTGCGAAGCGAACAAATGCATTAATATTTATATGTTTATATAATCGATAACCCACTTTTCCCTTCCGTGTAAATAGGCATCAGAAGATAATTTAACAGATTAGTTCTCTCAAACATGGCAGTGAGGAAGCGTAATTTAACTATCAAACAAATCTACATGTCTAATAACAGCAAATCTGCTAAGGAGCATTAGAAAGAGGAGCGGCGCCCCGGAATCTCTGCAGGAAATGTTCTTTATATTAGACATATACAAGCAGGTCCTGTCAGATGCACAACTCAGATCGAGAGCCTTGGGCTGCTTCAAAAATCTCAGCTGACATTACCTGCAGATCCGAGGCACTGAGAGAAAAAGATACACTCATTACTTGGTTTTAGGGTGGGTTTTAATTTTTTTTACTCCTTTCTGTCTGGTTTTTGCCTTGATCAATTTGCTTCCCGCCGAGGTCGGACGCAGTCGTTTTCTCTATTTCGAATTTGATCAATCCATCTTTGGCAGCAAACCCACATATTTTCTACAGGAGCTAAAAATTGAGTCATCAAAGAAATATTAGGATAGATTTTCAATCATTTTGGTGCTGAGGGGAAGGCGAGAGCTTAGTTTTATATTGAGACCTCACGCCGGCTGCAAGCAGAGAATGCTTTTCCCTGCCAGGACCTGATGCAATCCATTCAAGCCAACAAGTTTGGAGAGAATGTTGAGTTCAATCAATTCAGAACGTCGAGATGGAGCCCAACTCACTCCAGGTATTTCGCTCTCCTCCGCTCCTGCGGTCCCGGCGCCCCCCGGCACCCCCCAGCCCCCCAGCTCACCCACCCCCCCCCCCCCCCCACACACCCCCCACAAACTTTTCACCAAACTTTTACCCTCTGCATCCCCCAAAACCATTTTTATTGTTTAAAAAAAATCCCTGCGCTGATCATACCTACATAATGTAATTTTATCGCCTCATATGGGGAGCTGGGGAGGGGTGGTGGTGGAGACCCGGAGGGCTTTTTTTTCCTTTTTCTTTTTTTTTTTTTTCTTTTTTTTTTTTTTTAAGAGAGGCAAAATTTAGAGAGGTTTGTAAGATTTTTTTTTTTTTCACCCAGCGTATCTGTGGGCCGGTCTGTATTGAGAGTCTGGCTGTCTTGTGTGTGAATGTGCCTGGGAATAGATATTTGTGCTTGATGGCAACATTATTTACGTGGTGCTTTTTTTTTTCTCTCTCTCTCTCCCTCCCCCTCCTCCTGCAGTGGGTCGGCTCACCGTGTGGGTTGCACGGACCTTATATTTTCTATAAGGCTTTTCAATTCCACCTTGAGGGCAAACCAAGAATCTTGTCCCTTGGCGACTTTTTCTTTGTAAGATGTACGCCAAAGGATCCGATTTGCATAGCGGAGCTCCAGCTGTTGTGGGAAGAAAGGACCAGCCGGCAACTTTTATCCAGCTCGAAACTTTATTTCCTCCCAGAAGACACTCCCCAGGGCCGAAATAGCGACCATGGCGAGGTGGTAAACCTATCTCTCTCTCTCTCTTCCTTCTTTATTATCCACCCCCCCTCCAGTAATGCGTATTATAAGGCAAGCTTGAAAATACTGTATTCAGTTCTGCGGCGAGCAGGATCCGCTCGTTTTTTAAAGGGGTAGCGCCACTAACTGGGGCTGGAGTATTTTACCATTGTCAGAGTTTGGCTGTCAGCTTTACAAAGACCGTCCAACTGCTGATTTTAGTCAAGATCAAATAACTTGTCGAGAAGGGTTTTGTTCCAGGGTGTGTGTGTGTGTGTGTGTGTGTGTGTGTGTGTGTTGGTTTTGCTACCTCCACTTGAAGATTAATATCCCATGCGTTAGTATATACATTTTTTTTTGCCTTTTTAAAAAATTTACCTTCGTGCCTGGCTCCTAGGCTGGATGGATTTCTTTTGGTGGGTTCTGATATTGTTCACGTTATTTTTTTCTTTTAAGTATTTGATATGTTTAAGAGGGCGGAAATTACGAAACGGAGGCAGAATGAGATCAAAAGCGATTGAGTTGGCAAAGGCGTGTTGACTGAAGTGATAAATGACAGGTACTGGGATAATACATTCAAATAACTTGCGCATCTGCCCGGGCGGATTTCAAAGCGGTCGTGTAACCGGCACAAACACGTTCGGCATTAAGAACTATCTCGCGCCCACTCCCCCTCCTCCCGGAACCATTTGATGTTCTGGTTTCCAGTGACTCCACGCGAAGTGGACGTCTTCCAGTGGGGTGTGGGGCCGGGTGCAGGGGCCTCTGCGGTGCGGTGCGGGGCTGCGCGCGGGGTGGACACGGAGTGGACCCGGCGCTGCCACTCGGCCACCTCCCTCGGGCTCTGTCACTGCGGGTGTGACCGCGGCTCTACAGGCTCCCCGGGTCCGAGGGCCGAGCTCGGTGGCGCGGTCTTTACCCCCTCCCACACACACCCCCGGGAACTATTTTTGGGGAGTCTGCGCCCAGGGCGCGGCGGGAGGGAGGACCACGGTCCCCTGGCCAGGCTTTGTGTCTCCCGAGACAGAGGCAGGGTGATCAAACTGAGACTTTTGAGGCAGCTAGCTCGACTTCAGGCTCGCGAGCTTTCGAGGTAGGTCTGTTGTTAAATGAATGATTCGGTGCTGAACTCCTCGGGGGCCCTGGAGCTGCCAGCCCGGGCAGAAATTCCTGGAGCTGATGGAGTTGATTGCACTTTTGGCCTCGCTAGCTCACTCCCTCTCCCCCCCCCCCCCCCCCCCCCCCCCCCCCCCCCCCCCCCCCCCCCCCCGGATCGAATTACCCCCTCAGTGGTCCGCGGCCGGTTAATTAAGGGAGTTCGTCAGAATCTCGGCCCAGGAATCTGCCTTTTCGGAAATAAGCTCCGCCCTCCTCCCCGCACACACCCCTCCCCCGCCCTCCCCGCAGCCCCGGGTTTCAGCGTTCGGTTTCCCGGCTCCGCCCGCAGCCTGACTAAGGTGGTGTGTGCTGCGGAGTGGGACCCCTGCAGCCCACCAACAGGTTGAGCGCCTTCCCCCTCCCCGGGCTCAGGCCCCTCCCCCGACCCAACTTTCCTGCGCAGCTGTCTTCCTTCTCCCTCCCCCTTCCTGATTTCTTATTATTTGCTTTTCAAATTTATTACTTCAACATGGCCTGTGATCTGGAGAAGGGAAGGATTAAATATCCAGAAAAGAGCTGGTGCCGAACAGACTTCGGACTAAACCCAGAAGGAAATCATTCTGTGTTTTATGGGATATTTGTGGTCACTCTTTTTTTTTTTAATTGAAATTGGAATATTTACTTAAAAGACCCCGAGTTGACCCCCACTAGGTCCTGTTTAATTTCTGTTGATGTAACTAAATGGCGAATTCTGGTTCAAGAATAAAAGCCTCCGACGATCCCATCTGTGTGTCAGAACTGTTGACAAGGAATAGATGCGTTTTTAAACACCCGGTCTCTGTTTAATTGTTCCTTACGGGGAGTTGTAATAATCTAGGCATTTCGTATCTACTATATGAGCCATACCTCAGAAAATTAATCTTGCCATTTAAAAGTAAACTCTAGGGGGTTTGTGGAGAGAGGGCGGCTCTATTTATAATTCTCAGCTGCTTATACATAGTCTAATATTATGCATGATTTGTTTTTTAATGCTAACACGGCTGGTAATTAGCTGTATGATTATACTTGTATATTTCATTAGGACTTTGGCTGATGTCATTGTGAGTTATTCAGCCATATTAAAACAATTTTCAATTGAGATAATGACACGCCTCAAAATTATGCAAATGGAAGCTGCATTGTGCAAAATAATTACGACAAATGGAAAGCAGGTAGAAAGTTTCCCAGTGCCGGATCGGTTTTCCACCCCGGTGATGTCATTTCCCCCCTGGCCTAAGTCAGACGTTAGCAGAACGGCAGCAGCCAGGCTCCTGGGGAGGAGAGTCAGAGACCAGCGTTTACTGCAGGCGCCTGGAGGGGGCAACAGGGCCTCTCATTAAGAAATTTGCTTTGTTTTCGCCTACTCCATTAACTTGTTTATATACATTGAAATGGTTTTTATTATTGATTTTAAATAGTTTTGAAGGATGCCTTTGCCGGTTGGTAACTGCAGGGGAATGTTTTCTTGGTGTTCAAGAACATTTAATCAGCCAGTAGAGTCTATTTTAAGTAACCAAATGGAGGTTAATAATTTCTTGATGGAGCTGACATCAGCATCTATCTCAAAAGGACAACTAGGACTCGGTACTCTCTGTTGAAAAGAGTCATCCTGTCTTTTTTTTTGTTTTGTTTTTTTAACTGATTTCTTGAAACGTGAAGACGTCAGTTCTAAAATCAGGAACACGATCGCTGTGCGAGTTTAGAAATAGCGTCCCTGTGTGGTTCGCTGTGATTTGCAGGAGATTTTTTTTTTTAATTCCACACGGATCTTTGCAATCACTGCAGGATCGTGGATGACGCAGGACTATGCCTACCCATTTTAGAGATGGGGACAGGGACACGCCAAGGTCATGTGGCCTGCCAAATGTAATAGCCAGTGTCACCCAGTCCTTCCTAAACTTTAAGCTTGTCTCCTCCACGCCTCCAATAAAACCTGTTCTTGAAACAAGAAAAGACACCAGAAGCACGTACCAATGAGGGCAGTCCCTTGCTCATTTTAAAACAGAGACTAACTCAGTCCGCTCTCAAAGGTCAGATAGTCAGGTTTCAAAATATTTTGTTCTGTGTGGTTCAGGTAATCCTAACCGATGTTACACAGCAATATATGTTCATAGTTATTAATAATTAGCTATTGGTTGGTTTCCAGGGTGATGGTGAGAGCACACACATGTATTACTGCCATCAGACATCTCTAGCGCTGTTGGCTTGCACTGAGGAAAGGCATTTGAAAAGGAGATATCTTTGAGGCTGGGGAAAAGGATCAGTGGATAAAACATTTACTGGGCAACTGTGAGGACCTGAGTTCGAATCCTCTGAACCCATGTACTACTGGAAGCAATAGTCCTAGGGCTCCTATGTGTAGAGAGTACACAGCAGTAAGCAACAAAACAGAGACAGTCTTACATGAGACAGAAGTGGGGGGCTGACACTTGAGTTTGTCTCTTGACCTCCCCAAGCATGCTATGGCATACTAGTACCCTGCGTGCATGGAATGCACACACATAACACACACACACACACACACACACAAGAAGAGGCACATTTCGATTCAATTCTGTAATTTAGCCCAAGTCTGACCTTAAACAACCATAAGTATCCGAGCCTCAATTCCTTCTCCCACAAAATAAGAATAGCAGCAATAATAACTGAATTATTTGGGGGGATCGAGAGACATTGTATAGAAAAATGCTTTCGATGTCACAAAGTACTTAAAACGAAAGGACTTAGGGTAAGAATATTATAAACATTCTCATTCTGTAAACAATAACACATCATAATCACTTTGGTGTTTATGTGGATTTCTTTGGGACCTCATCATGATGCTGTCTTACACCAGCATGAGAGAGTACACAGCAGGGCCGGGTGCCAGGAGGTAGTCTTTGGTAATCACCAGCAACTGCCACATGTGGCCAGTACCTTTTCAGGGGAGGACAGGGCAAAGTAGGTGGGTAATTGGTTCTGTTACTGGGCAACCTCCGATCATGCTCACTCTCAAATTGCCAGCTACTTAATCTATTGGCAGTTGACTTTCAACATGCCTGCATGTGCAGGCTTGGGTTCTGCATGAAGGTTTGTTGATGGCCTGGAACTAGGAACGGGGAAGGTGAAGCTAATGATGTCATTGCGTCAAGACCGAGCACGCCTGGGTGTTTTAGGCTCCAGCTTGTGTTCAGGATTTGTAGCAGTATTTGGTTGTCACCATCCAGGATAAGCAATGAATGGTGACCCACTTAGAAATTGCCTCAAAGGTGCCTGTTCTACTGAAAGCAGATTACCATAGTTGGAGTGGGATCCAAGACGTTGAAATGTAAACATTTTCAAGTCTCACTCTACTGGTAGAATCTTGGGTACTTTCTCAAGCATTGTGCCTCAGTATCTTCACCCGTAAATGGGTGCACAACATTTACTTCTAGGGCTGTTTTAAGGACTCGGTGAGCTACTACATAGAAAGTGCATGCAAGCCAAGTTGGTGCACAGTAGATAGATAGATCAACACTGATTGGTGGTGATCACTACCATTAATATTGCTACTGCTTTTCTCATTGGAATTTGAGGCATTCCTGGGGACTTTTTTATGAGAGACGGTAACTTCTGTGTTACTTCGCTAAAATCTCTGGCACTCTGGTTCTGTCCACTCAGGCTGTCTTTCCAGTGTGGGGGGTTTAGCTGTGTCATCAGCATAGGAGGCTTCTTAGGAATTTATATTTTGCTGCTGAAGAATGCTCTCAACTGGACCAACCACATTTTTTGAAAGATTACCTGATTTGATCGTATCTGGGGTTAAGCAGATGCCCTGTGGAATCTCTCGATGGTTCCGGCTGGGGCTTGTCATAGCCCCCAGTCTTGGTCTGTGTCCAGAAACT